GAGTCTTAGAAATGTTTTTTATTTATTTATTTATTAATCTTATCAGATCTATATGAATGATACATATATATATATATATATATATATGTATATGTAAATATAAAATCAATAAATATAAGAAAAAATACTTACATATAGAATAATATATACCCTAAAGTCTAAATAAAAGTAATTTAAAAAAAAAATTAAGAAGAATCTCATATTATTTAAAATAACACTCATTATATATATAAAAAAATTTTTTCAAATTCATTTCCCTTCTTTTTTTTTTTTTTTTTTTTTGTTTTTCAATAAAAAAAATTATTTAAAATCGACTCAAAATTTCTCATTATTATTATTATTATTATTATTATTATTATTATTATTATTATTAATTTTTTTTCCTTCCTATCTCTCCACAAATTAAAAAGGCAACTTGAAATTAAAATTAAAAATGTCTCATTTGAGCAACATTTCACACACAATGTGATATAATAACTTATTATTATTATTATTAATTAATCAATTGATTTTTTTTTTAAATTGAGTCAACTGGTAGTAAGGGAACGCAAATAACAATAATAATAATAATAATAAAACTTAAAACCAAAACAAATAGAAAATCATTACAACTTATAGATAAAAAAAAAAAAAAAAAAAAGGTAGAAGGTTGGTAAATTTTAAATGTTTTTTTTAAAAATAATAATAATAATGATAAGTGTAATAAGTATCCTAATATTATTATTATTATCATTTAATAAATTTGATTATAAAAATTTATCAGATTTTATATGTTTGTATCTTACTACCAGCATAAAAAATTAAAAATTAAACACAAAAAATGACAAATAACAAATCAATCCAATGTCATACAAAAGTAGATTTGGTTCACTTAAATTTATAAATAATAATAATAATAATAATAATAATAATAATAATAATAATAATAATAATAATAATAATAATAAGCTAAACTTAAACAAATTTTAAACTTAAAAAAAAAAAATTTCATTACAAAAAAAAAAGAAAAACAAAAAACATTCAAAATGAGCTTTGAGAATTATTAATAATAATAATAATAATAATGATAATATTTTTTTTGTTGTAGATAATTATTATCATTACTATTATTTATATAATGCCAAAATTTTTTAAGTTTTTTTTTTTTCAGTCTTAAAATGTAAATTTTTTTTTTTTTTTTTTTGTTATTAAAAGTAATATAATTTGTAACATTTCATACAGTCCGTTATTTTATGTTTATATATATAAAAAATAATAATAAAATAAAATAAAATAGAATAGAATATACTAACGACTAACCTACTTTTTTTTTTTTTTAAATTTTTCTTAAATATAATTAATATTGAATAAATGAAAATGAAATTTTTAACTATGACTTTTTTCTTTTTTTAATTTGTGAGTGTATATATATATATGTACATATACACACATAAGTCAGTTTAAAACAATTTATCAATTTGGAAAAACGTTAAAAAGTTTATATAAATCGAATTATTTAAAAAAAAAAAAAAAAAAAAACAATAAAAAGAAAGAATTCACTGGGAGACATTTTGTTTTTACATGACGTCATCATACAACAAAAAAACGTTACTTTACCTTTAACGTGAAATTTCTATCGTTTAATCGTTTCGATTTGTCTTTTTTTTTTCTTTCATTTTTACGTAAGTTTAATTTAATTTGCATAACAAAACGTTTACGCGACTAAATAAACCATTTTTAACAAATCAAATAACAATTTTCGACCCCATTTAAAAAAAAACAAAAAACTAAAACGAAATGTGTCAAACGGTAAACAAAATCTCATCACCACTGACGAATTAATAATTTTCTGACGTCATTTCCTTTCGATCATTTCCTAACGGTTTTTTCAAATTCTATTCGAACGCGGGGTTGTTCAAAAACTGTGAATCATCCCCCAAAAAATAAACAAATCGAAAAAGAATTACGCAGTTTCGAAAACACGTGAATAATAAAAAAACAATAAAAGACAATTTATCATAACAAAACGTAATTAAACTATTGTTATCAATTTATAAATGCATTCATCTTACGTTTAAAAAAAATTACAATTAAAAAACTTTTGATATTTAATTAATTTGTGATTAGATATTGAATAGTATTAAAAATTCATTTTTTTTTTTTTTTAAAACCTAACATAATATTAAAAAGTCATTTTTTTGTAAAAAAAGTAAAATTAAAAATTTTACGCCCTCCTACGTAACTAAATAATAATAATAATAATAATAATAATAATAGTTTTATAAAAAAAAAAAAAAAAAATTACATGAAGCCTCTCGAATATAATTAATTATATACAAAATAACAAAAAAATTAAAATTAAAATTAAAAATTAAAAATTTTTTTTTTTTTTTTGCATAATTTGATTAAACAAATCGTTCATTCATTCATTCATTCATTCATTCATTCATTCACTGTTTTAAAAAATCATAAAATCAAATTATGCACGAACATATATATAAAATTAAGAATAATAATAAAACCCTTAAAACGATATCATTAAAAAAAAAAAAAAAATGTCATTAAAATAAAAAAAATACCTCAGTAAGAGAATACTTAGTATTTTTTTTTTTTCTTTCCATTAACAAAAAAAATTTAAATACAACATTAATTAATTAAAAAAAAAAAAAAAACAAGAGAGGTAGGCAAATTAACATTACAATCAATCAATAGAATAATTCATATTATCAGAAATGGCACAAATTTTTTTTTTTTTTTTTAAAACAAATGAAAAATTTCTTTTTTCTCTCTCTATCTCTCCCTCTCTCTCTCTTTCCCCCTTTTCCCCAATCTCTTCAACAACTCCCCATCATCCAAAAACCATACAATTAATTTTCCAATACAAAATACTAAATTCTAATTTTTTTTCTTTTTTTTTGTGCGCACATATATGTATAAATATATAAACACGTTTTTAACCTTTCTTATCATTAAAATCGTGATAACAAACAAACAAACAAACAAACAAATAATTAACATACCTTATATAACATGTGAATAAAAAAAAAAATACATTACATTATATAATAGTTATTATTATTATTATTAATCATTATTATTATTATTATTATTATTATTATTACTTAACTTTCTCCACTCTTCGTACGTAAAAAAAAATTAAAAAAAAAAAAAAAAAACTTATTAATCTTTCAAATAAAATTAATTAATTAATTACTCACGTTGGAAATTTTTAATAATAATAATAATAATAATAATTAAGGCACGACACACTGGCAACACCGCACGAGGCACTTTAATCGATTGATTTTATATATAATAAATTAACAAAAACGCGTTAAAAATATGAAAAACGTTTGTTTAGGAGAAAAATTTTAGCCAACGACGCAAACAACTACCACCTGTAACAACAACAACCGTAATAATAATAATAATAATAATAACAAAAATGACAACTATTTGATTCGTCGAACGAAACACACACACAAAAACAAAAGGCACATCCGGTATGGAAAATCAAACGAAGCGACGTTTCCGGTCTTCTTTTTCTTTTTTTTTTTTATTTAAAGTTATGCATCGAGTCATCATTATTATTTAGTGATGACGTATTAACAAAAAAAAAAAAAAAAAAAAGAAAAAAGGTCTTTTTTTATTTATTTATCGATTAATAATAATAAATTTTAACTGAGCTTATTTTTTTTTCCCCTCCCTCCCTCCTCCCCCCGTTCCCACCCACCTATCGCCGTACAAATATCCTACTTAAATTTATAAACATGCATGACAATTATTAATATTATTATCATTAATATTATTATTATTGTATAAAAATACCGTATGACGATTAGACAGTCATTTTTTATTTTAATTAATGTTATTAACGGAAGAAAAAAAATTCTTTAAAATCTTAATAAGAGTAATTAATAATGGTAGCGGCGCTAGTAATAATAATAGTAATAATAATAATAATAATAATGATACTACTATCTAATACGTAATAATATGGCTTATTTGAAAAAGTAGGCGTTTGTTTAAAAACGACGTGTTCGTGTTAAAAACGCCTCCACCATCATAAATTCCACCATTTTTTTTTACGACCAATTTTCTAGAATTTTCCATGTTGTAAAAATATATATATAAAAAATTTATCATTCCATTTCAAA